ATATCTGTAAATAATAGATCGAGAGTGTTTGATCCTCTTGTAGGATTCTTAATAATTTGTTTCAATTTGCTATACCTGACTAATTTGGCGGGACGAAACCCGTTTCTGGTAGGGTTAAAATCTCCTGCTATAATAAAGGATGTGCTAGGACTTTCCGAGATCAGTATGTCATAACAGCTGTAAAAATAGTCGTAAAAGCGTTCTACGTCTTCAGATGTCGTAGATGGTGGCAAGTAAGCCACAGCTACTGCTATTCGGGAAATACATCTAGGTAGCCAAATTGGTAGAATGATAGCCCAGAGGCATTCGAAAGGTGATTGAGAAAAATCATGACGTGTTTTGGTAGGGATGCTATTGGAAGTATAAAGGACTACACCGCCACCTCTGCGACCGATTCTATCTTTCCTTATAGATGTCATACCCGGCAGTTGAATAGCCTCGTCCGGGATTATGTCACACAGCCATGTTTCGGTGACTAACACCAGGATGCATTTATATAGTTCCACTAAGTTTGCAAGCTCGTCGGTTTTACTAACTAGAGACCTTGTGTATAGAAACTTTCGGTAACCGTTCAAACGTTCGGTAACCTTCGTTCATTGTTAGAATTTGGTATATCTTGTGAATCCACTAGAGGGATACGTATTAAATTATTCCTGATCGATCTGGTTTTGGGGCCGATGAGGTTTTGGGGCCGATGAGGAAAATGTTCCCTAGGAAAGTCGATTAAGGGAAGATTTCCATATATAGACTCTTTTGATGAATACGTTGATTTATTTATACGTTGAAAATGATTTTGCGGCCGATGAGGGAAATGTTCCCTAGGAAAATCGATTAAGGGAAGGTTTCCATATATAGACTTTTTTGATGAATACGTTGATTTATTCGCGGTATCTTGACTATTACGTGAATGCTACAGTTGTTGAGACAGTTGTTGAGACTGAGGATCCAACAAATAAACTTACGGAGGAAATAGTTATACTTGAGACAGATAAACTACAACTACAAAAACAGCATGAAGAAGATATACAGGGTGTATCAAAATAAACGCAATTCATCTTTTGTGCTTAATAACTTTCGAAATACTATTTCTAGTTAAACGCATTTAGGCTTACTTCAAAGCCTGTTCTTTTCTCTTTCAAACAAACTATTATCCTTGTCTCCAATGCTAGTAATGATTGCACAGGAAAAGATTTATTAAAACCTATCATTTTTAGTTGCTGTTTAATTATGCAAGTCTACTATGTTATTGTTTAGTCGGTTTAAATGTTAGAATTTTCTTCTTTAAACTTTAATGTTGTCGTCACTACATCTGGAAAACCACGTAAGAACAAATTAAAAGTATTTTAAAAGAGACCAGGTTGTTTGAAAATCCCAAACGAACGCTAAAAATCATAGAATCAAAACATTCTGGTGTCTGGGCCAGAGTGTCATCGAATTGCGATGTAATGTAAACAGAAATTATAGCAAGCTGATGTCAGTCAGCTTAGATGGTCCAAGCCAAAATTATATCGCATTTGAAGTTTCAAACTGTGTTAAAAATAGTGGAAGAAAAGCCGTAATTATACTTATTGTTACAATCCATTCATTAAAATGCAACATTTTTTTTCATGAGAACGATTTGTTATTCCATCTCAATTTTTTTAATCTCCAATCGCAATAACGTAAAGTATTATTACCCGCGAACCAATGAGTCAAATTTAAGAAACAACCCACTGTTAGAAAGCTGAATGGCTACGCTTTAAAATGAATGTAAACTTTAACGTTTTCGTCTATTATTTGTTTAGCAATTTACATTTCAGTCGAGGATTGCGTTTTTTTTTATACACCCCGTAGAGAAATTACAATTAAGTGCATTTCGATTAGAAAGATTTATAGGCAGTGACTCAAATAAAATGTGGCAAACAACGATCTATGTCCCCAGAACAGGAATTATTCCTTGTACTTACAAGATTACGTTTGGGGTTACTTTTGCAAGATATTGCTCACTGATTTAGCATCTCACCAACCAGTGTTTCTCGCATTTTTAAAACATGGATTTCCTTTTTGCATCAACGTCTTCGTGCCCTCCCAATTTGGCCCAGTCGTAAATTCATTGAAGATAACATGCCTTCCTGCTTTAAGCAAGTCTATCCTAAAACCAGAGTTATTATTGATTGTACTGAGTTTTTTATTGAAATGCCATCATCCTGTAGAAGTCAATCAATCACATTTTCAAGCTATAAGAATCATAACACTGCCAAGGGTTTGATTGGAATTTTACCAAATGGATATCCAAGTTTTTTTTCCAACTTATATGCAGGTAGCACTAGTGACAAGAAAATCACTCGCGACTGTGGGATTCTCATTCTGAATCTACTAGAGCCAGGAGATGAACTTATGGTAGACTGAGGTTTTGACATCGAGTCTGACATGCCAAATGGGGTATACCTAAATATTCCACCATTTTTAGATGGACAACCTCAGCTTTCAGCTGAAGATGAGGCAAAAGCTAGAAAAATTGCATCAGCTCGGGTGCATGTCGAGCGTGCAATTGCACGAATAAAAAACTATAGAGTATTGCAGCAAGTAATTCCTTTGACACTGGCTGATAACCTTGACCAAATCTGGGGTGTTTTTTTGTAAAAACAACAAAGTCAACACCAAGTCACATTTAGTGTGGCCATGCACGCTTGGATTTGGTAGTAATAGTTATGTTTAGTTGGATTTTTCCATTCGCTATGCCCAAGTAAATGTTTTTGTCTTTGCATGCTTCCTCTATGCAAACATCCTTTTTTGAGAAAGGGCACTTAACTTCACCAATGCCGAAGGATTTCTCTTCTGTGTGATCAAAAACTAAAAAATCTGGACTGGCTCCTAACCAAGGAAACTCAATGTTAACGACAAAACCACATTTCGAACACACATGAATACCCCGTCCTTCATTGTTTTTAAATTTGCAGTATTCTACAATAGCCTTCCCTTTCTTATCTTTTCCCCATTGACAAGGTTCTGGACACTTAGCTTGTTTTGGATTTTGTTTAATAGTGACGTTAGGAAAATTGTTTTTCTTCTCTTAACTACTGCACCGAAATTTGACGAAGTGATCTCTTATGCCGCTCCTCAAACACTTGTCACTTGAAGATTGATCCCTGGTATTTTTTTCAATCTGGAGTATTTCTGAATGCGTAATATTTGCAGAATGTTTCAATTTCTTAACTGTCTCACTGTAGCTATCGGATTTCTCAATTGAAGTAGGTTGTAAATTATCTAAAACTTTTTCACGGATGGCAGTGTCATTAAAGTTCAGAGTAAGGGATTCAATGTGTCACTTTTTTGATTGAAGTTCCTGGTGGATAGCCTCAAATGCATATGGCTTGCAATCATTTGACTCCAATAAGTTACCTCAATAGCTTTTCTCTTCTAGTGCATTCAACTTGCTTGCCAATTTCTCTATTTCAGTCTGTTTGATAATATTAGCAAAATCTGGGGTGGGATTATACACTTCCTCTTCGGGTAGTTGTGATCTTTTACGCTTATTACTGTTTTTAATATTTTTTCGTAAACAACCTTTTTAAAAACAATGCTTTCATACAGAACTGCCTCATCTGGCTCATTCTTTCTTGGTACATGCCATTGCTGTAATAACTGTGTGCAAGTAAGGTGATCTGGGATTTCAGTCATGTCTAATTGTTTATATTCGATTACTTGAAACAGCAATGCAACAAAATGTTTACATTGTCCACCTTTGCCAGCTTTACATATGCAGTTGCTATATACAGCCTCCCCATTAGCTTCATTTAAATGAACATATACTGTATATATTATGTTTTTCATGGCAGTATTTGCACACGCTTTAATGAAGAAACACGAGATAGTATCTTTGATGACATTTGCTTTAACTTCAACTTGACCAATATATTTATTCTTGAACATTTGATATCCTAACTTTTTGTTTTTGTGGGCACCACCAGATTGTTCAGTTCCCAAATGCTTGCTTAATAACTCATAATTAAATGCCGGGAGGCCTTTTAATTCCCTTGTCCACCTTTTTAATGTTGGTATTTCAGTGTTATCGACCTCAAGTGAAGTGTTTATAGGTTCAACCTCCATATTTAATAAATTTAATAATTTATTTACAGTATTTACAATATTAACAAAGTTTAATATATACCCTAAATATTAATTTTACTATTTATAATTTAACTAAATATTTTTACATCCTATCCAAAAATTTTTAACCAAAATCTAAAATGACTTTAAGAAGGCCTAAAAAGTTTAATATTTGAATATACCTAAATTTATTTACCTAAAATTGTTCTAGAACTCACGAGTAATTTAAAAAATTTAACGAACCAAATTGCACCTCAGCTAGAGGACAAACAACAGCAGAATACCCAGAAAAACTTTTATCTTTAAATTTTCTTGCTACAGTTGAAGGCTGCTTTTAAATTCAGGGTATTTTCGCGCCAAAACAAAGGTAGAACATTAGGTGAAGTGAGGGCACGTTCAATGGCAAATTCGAACACAATCGTCACAAAAGTTGTAAATTTCGCGAAGCTTAAAATGCCATTTCGAGACGCGAACATGTAAAACAACTATGAGATCGAATACAAACAACTATCAGAGCATCTTATTTTGAAATAATATTTAGCCGATCGCATATTGAAACGCCAACTCACCTGCTTTAGTTGGGAAAGTTAGATTTTCGCGAGCAAATTTCTGCAAAGCATGTTTACAAGACGTGCCACTCTCAACGCATTTTCTCGGCTGCTAATGGACAGAAATTCCACAAATCTCCCCAGAATATAGCGAAAAGCGCCCTTTTCATGCTCCACAACAAAAAACATATCGATCGATGCAATAAATAGTTTAAAATCCGCCATATATTCCTCCAAACAAAATCGTCCGCTCCCACGGCGGCCATTTCGTTTGGAAGCAGCTTACAGCCTCCTACCATCATGCTTAGCGGCCCGAAATCTATAATGCGAGTTGTCCATTGATTTGGACCCATTGTTTGATTCATGTTGAACAACAACAACGACGACGACGACGACCAACAACCAACCACCCACCAACCACCACCACCAACCACCACCAACCACCACCAACCACCACCCACCACCACCCTCCCACCAACCACCCACCCACCAACCACCTACCAACCTCTCACCAACCACCCACCCACCAACCACCCACCAATCACCCACCAATCACCCACCAACCACACACCAACCACCCACCCACCAACCGCCACCAACCACCACCCAACCACCACCCAATCACCCACCAACCAACCACCAACCAACCACCAACAAACAACCAACAAACAACCAACAAACAACCAAACAAACGACAAACAAACGAACGAACGAACGAACGAACGAACGAACGAACGAACGAACGAACGAACGAACGAACGAACGAACGAACGAACGAACGAACGAACGAACGAACAACAGCAGCAACAAAAAACGTATCGATCGATGCAATAAATAGTTTAAAATCCGCCATATATTCCTCCAAACAAAATCGTCCGCTCCCACGGCGGCCATTTCGTTTGGAAGCAGCTTACAGCCTCCTACCGTCATGCTTAGCGGCCCGAAATCTATAATGCGAGTTGTCCATTGATTTGGGCCCATTGTTTGAGGAATGTTGAACAACAACAACAACAACAGCAACAACAACAACCACGACGACGACGACGACCAACAACCAACCACCCACCAACCAACCAACCAACCAACCACCACCAAACCCCCTCCCCACACTCACCTACCAACCAACCAACCAACCAACCAACCAACCAACCAACAACCACCA